CATGTAGCCGACCCCAATTAATTGAAAAAATACTAAAATGATAATGATGATATGTCTATAAAAGTAGCATAGACAATCTTTCAAGGCAGATAAACATACAAGCAAGTGCAAACTTGATTATATTCACTTTGATGTATGGTGTCCTTTACCGACTATATCTCATGGAGGTGCATTGTATTTTGTTTCATTTATCGATAACTCTCAAGTAAAAAAATAATATATTTGTGCATTCAAGAATTTTAAAATCGAAGTTGAAAAATATTCAGGATATCACATTAAAGTTCTTTAGATGGATAATGACAATTGTATCAAAGGAATTCAAAAGTATTTGTAAGGCCGAGGGAATTATTAGGCATTGCACAAAGGTCTACAATCCTCAACAAAATGGTGTGACCTAAATGATGAATCACACTCTGATAGAGCATATGAGATGCATGTTAAGCAATGCTAGTCTAGAACAAGAATTATGAGCAGAAACCGTATCAATGTTTTATTATCTCATTAACCGATCACATTTGGTAGATTGTGAAGAAAAATCCGTGATAAGGTATGATATGGAACTCCAAGTGATTATTCAGATTTAATTTTTTTTTTTTTGTGATGCCTATGCATTTATTCTAAGTTGCAAAAGGAATAAGTTAGATTCATAGTCAAAGAAATGTATCTTTGTGAGTTATAGCAAGGGTGTGAAGGGATATCAGTTATGCGATCCAAGTACTTGAAAAATAATCACTAGTCAGGATGTGCACTTCGATGAATTCCAGGTATTGGTAAAATGGATGATGAATAACAACAATCAAGAATTGAAAGAAGAAAGCCAAAAGTTTGGTGACAACCCTGAAATACTTCCACCAAAATGCAACTATGCCTTATAAGAATATACTCAGTGATCATGGTAAAGAACTAAAAAATCAAGATGAAGAACCACATGACCATCATGATGAAGTTCTGCCTTTGGAACCTCGACGCTCTACTAGATAAATTTGTTCACCCAAGTGGCACAGAGATTATGTGGATTCAAATACTTTGCATGTTTTGATAGTCGAAAATGAAGAGTCAACATCATTTCTTGAATCCATTGAAAGTAATGGTATCTAGCATTGAAATAGAGTGATGGAAGAAGATATATTAGCCTTTCAAAAAAACAAGACAGGAGTTGGTAGATCTATCAAAAAGTAGAAAGGCCGTTAGTTGTAAATGGGTGTCCAAGATAAAGAAAGAACCCGGTCGCAATTTTAAAAGTAGAGGTCAAAATTGGTGGCCAAGGGTTTTTCACAAAAGCAAGGTATTGACTTCGATGAAATTTTTACATCGATAGTCAAATTGGTCTCAATTCACTTGGTGCTCGAGTTAATTGCCATGTATGATTTAGAACTAGAGAAAATTGATGTGAAGACGATACTTTTGTATGGGGAATTCGAAGAGGAAATATATATGCAACAACCAGAAGGCTTCATAGAGAACCGCAAAGAAGGACTTGTATGCAAATTGAAGAGGTCCTTGTATGGGTTCAAGCTAGCATCAAAACAATGTAGAATATATATTTATAGATAGATAATATAAATATTCAATCGCCTGTTTCGAGCGCCTTATTTAAGTTTGCTTAGATTCCACAAAATAAAGAGGTCTTTAGTTAGGTTATTGTTAGAGTACTCCTACACAAGGAATATTTCCTTAATATATTTAATATTTTCGAGTACTTAATACTATTACTTCACAATGTAGTGACATTTTTTTTCTAAGGATATTTTAGATAATCAATGTAAAAAAGGTGGAGGTGGGACGCCCTGGTGGCCAAGGTCCTTGACAGCTTAGGCGGCCGAGCAGTTGCCTAGGTGGGCACTTAGATACCTGGTGGCCCTAAGGGAAGGGGGTTGGGATGGGGGCTATATGTTGTTTTGTGTATGTGTGTATTTGTGAATGTGTGTGTATGTGTTTAGTATGTGTGTGCATGTGTACATATGTGCGTGTATGAGGTCTCGCATGAAATTCTTAAAGATCATCATCTTTTTCTTTTGGATTTATATTTGTGAGAGAGAGGTCTCGAATACTTGGAGGATATGTAGAGAGAGAGAGAGAAAGAGAGAGAGAGAGAGAAAAAGAAAACTTAGAGGTCATCTTCTTACATGTAAAGAGGGAGCATATGGTACATATGTATAGTTTTTTGTGTATGTGTATGAGAAAAAGGCCGTGCATCAAACAATTGGACTCCATCTTCTTCTCATATGTAGAGAGAGCACATGACCCGAGAGAGAGAGAGAGAGAGAGAGAGAGAGAGAGAGAGAGAGAGAGAGAGAGAGAGAGAGAGAGAGAGAGAGAGAGAGAGAGAGAGAGAGAGAGAGAGAGTAGTAGAGTGAGGTAGTAGTAGTAGTAGTGTAAGTAGAGTAGAGTAGAGTAGACGTACGGTCGTAGGTACGACGTAGTACG